CCATTAAAGCTTGGAAGGTCTTTTATATTGTTGTAAGACAAGTCCCTTAAGACAACAGAAATTAACAAATTAATGTTATGTTACCAGAATACTATATTAAAAGAGCTACACTCAGAAGCATTGAAAGTAGTGCTAAGATCTATAATAAAGAGATATGGCTGAACAAGAAAAGCAACTATTTTCTTCCTAAGATTCGTAAGCTTCTAGAGCACCTCAGTGATACAAAAGGCTTAAGACTGGTAAAGTTCAAGAACATAATGTTGAGTATAGACAATTACATAACATAAACATATAAAATTAAATATATAAAAATATAATATGGAAAATACATAAGATTTCTTTTAAGTGGTAAAGCTACAAATTTTTTCAAAAAATTTATATTTTTCCAATGTTATTTGTGCCATAAATAATTGCTATGTTGCTGTTCAATTAAAAAGCTAAGAATAGTATGCTTACCAACATTTTTAAAAACATGGATATTAAATCAAATATCAGAACTAGTTAATTCTCAATCCCACTGCAGTGCTTCCTCAATGGTGATCATCGTGGTTAAGTTTGATATTCCACTACACCATTTAATTAGTCATGCACCATATAACAGTGTTTCAGTCAAGGACAGACCGCATACACAACGGTGATCCCACAAGATTATACTACAGTATTTTTACTGTACCTTTTCCATGTTTAGCTATGTTTAGACACACAAATGCTTGCCATTGTGTTACAACTGCCTACAGTATTCAGGACAGTAACATGCTGTGCAGGTTTTAGCCTACGAGCAAGAGGCTACACCATGTAGCTTAGGTATGTAGTAGGCTATACCATTTTTGTTAGTGTAAGTACACCATGATGTTTGCACAAGGCGGAAATCACCTATGCACACATTTCTCAGAAAATATTCCCATCGTTAAGTGATGCATGACTGTACTTACTTAATCAATCAGCCATTTATTTTGTTACTGTCTTCCTCCACTGAATACTTATTAACAACTTAGTAACTTAATTGTTTATTCTGGTAACATTTTTACATCCTTTATTTACTTTTAATTTCTAAGTCAGCTTAAAGTGTTTAGAAAGCTACATGCTTAGTTCATTCCTGATTCAAAATAGATTTAGTCTCTGCTTAGGAAAAGAGAGAATACGGGGAGATAATGCCCCTGGGAAACTAGAATAAAGACAAAGAGTCAGCATAAGAAAAAATTAAGGAAAAACCTAACTTGGTTTTAGTTTGTTCAAAATAAAGCAAGATGTTTGATATATTCATAACCCTAAAACCCAATTCAAATGCACATTACCCACCCCGTGGACTTATTAAAACACCTGCTCGTTTACGTGAAGGGAGCAAATAAGAAATAACTATCCCTCAAAACAACCTTACGAAACTAGTTCCTTAAAAATAAAACTGAACATGTCTTAAGTACATAAAAGGAAGGTATGAGGGGAAGGAAAGAAGAAGCCAACTTACAAAGTCCTAAGCATCTTTTGTTCTTGACACAAATTATTAGGTATGCTGCTTATCTTTGTACCTGTCAAGGTCCTGTGGAAAAACATTGTTCATCTAAGAAATAATTCGAGTTGAGACAGTAAACAAAATGTTATTCTCACACAAAAAAACAAATGCTCACATAACTGCATATGGACTAGAGTCTATGCATCCCATGGCCTAATTACTCTTCCCTAAAGTTAGGCATGTGGGAAGGTAAATTAACCCTCAATACTGGTTTCACCTTCACAGTAATACAAAAATGCTTGTGACGTGAGACGTTAATATTGTCCAGATGATGGGCTTGATTTCCCACCTGGACCAAGAGAAAAACACTAATCCACAGTCACAGCCTGACCATAATCAGCTGCAAGTTTTATCACCTCACACCCAACACTTGAAATCAACTTAGCATCCTGCCCTCAAACCTCATTGCTTTCTGTACTTTCAGACAATCTGGCTCAGCTCTGAAATATTCTCTTATTCTGGTCCCTTTCCATGCTCCCATCTGCAATCAATCACCAATTCCTGTTATTTCATCCTCTGTAGTGTTTCTAGCATCAACCCTTTCTCTCCATTTTTACTGCTACTATGTATTAAATAGATCAAGGGTAAAGACAGACCATGCTATTTGTTTGCGATTGAAGACCTGTAGCTCTCATGGTTAAATGTGTTCATTTGGTCAAGTAGACTATTCTCACGGCCTCCTCACCTTTCTCCCTATTTCTAGTCTTTCTCCTCCTTACCCTCCTTCACACCAACTGCACATTCTCATTACCTCCAAACTGCCTTAAGGGTCAAGTTTAAATTCCTTATCTCAGAGCTGCCAATGTTCTTTTTTTTTTTTTTAATCTTGGCACATGTAACAATCATAACATTTACATAGTACACTATGGTAAGGCTCTTGTGGCTAGAGACCCTAGCTGCCTCAGCCCTACCTGCCTGTCTGCAGAGCTGAGGTCATCAAGATCTTAGATGCACCTGCAACCCATTCACAGACCACTCACTGGGAAACGTTGCTACAACCAAACAGTCAATGTTTAAGGTTTGTCATTTTAAAATCTGGTCACAAACAATTTTCTAATTTCCCCATACCATGCCCCCATTCCATTATAAACATGTAATTCTAGCTATGCTCGATCATCTGTATGCCATCCCTGAGTATATATTTTCAGTATTCCCAGTTTTACTAATCCTGTCTTTCTAAATAAAAGACCCAGCCCTGGGAAACCTTAAGTATTCAGTTTTTAAACAGTCTACCTCCTCCATAAAGCCGTCTCAGATTGTCTACGTTGACTGCTCCCACTTCTCAATTCCTAGAACACTGCTTCTAATTTAGCACTTCAATTAGTGCCTTATATTTTCAGTGACCTTTTCAGATCTTATCTCCACACTAGGCTGTATTCTGCCTGAGTTCACTGACCCCAAAACCCAATATATCCATCTCCATGCATGATATTCACCAAGGGAGATTGGAGGAATCAGCCGTAACCCGTCATCATCACTAAAAAGCACTAGCACCTGCTAGCAGGCCGGCAGTGTTTTATTCGTACACAACCCCTCTCTAAAGGGCCACACTTACAGACTCTCCAGATGGACAGTTCCAGTAAGGTTGGGAAACCACTGCACCATGCTTGCACCACGAATGACTCTTTTAAGAAATTGAGAGAGAAAAAGTAATTAAAAAATTTTTCATATATAAAATTTTCATTTTATCTTTTAAACAGTTTAAAATTATAGTACTACTATAACTAAAAATAAAACTTTCTGGAGCTACAATAATAAATTCTTGTTTTCCAATATTCAGGTTTGTTTTTAAATTTACATAATACTTACAAGGAATGCAGATCAGATAAATTGTGAAATGCCGAGTTCCCCACAAAAGATAGAGGATTATCATACAAATGTCTGTAAAAATAAAAAAGTAAAAAATAAAAAGTTTTCATATGTTTACAAGCACTCTGTTCACAATGTACATATATCTAAAAGCCTGAATTTTCATTCTTTATCCAGATGTTTGGCATTGTATAGACATAGCTTTACATAATTATATATTAAAAGAAACTTTCAAAAATACTTACATAGTTCTTAAGAGTGGATTACCACCAAATGCTCCATCAGGGATAACAGAAATAGAATTACTATGAAATCCCCTAGAAAGATAGGAGAAAAGTATTTTGAAATACATTGTGCTCTTGTGAAATAAGTTAAGTTCCAAGTACCTACTGCTGTTCAGTGTTATATAAAATACAACTGATAACAATTACATGAACATTTTCAAAAATGTGGGGAATGTGAATTTGAAGTCCATATCATCTTTTTCAGGACCATACGTAATTCTTTTTAAACCTACTGCTTAGCCTAGAATCTATCCGTTCCCTCACATGCATTTATCTGTTGTTTCACCATCAAAGAACTTTAGACCATTAAGAATCATAAGGTGTTCTAACCTCAAAATCTCTCACTGCAGCCCATAGTCGTTAAGCAATGCATCCTCAAATGATAACTGTCAACTCATGACACACAATCCCTATTATGCCATAGACATTCACTATCTCTGTTTATGATAAACCCAACATCCAAAATGCTTCCTTGTTCTTTTCATTTATTTAAATTTTTCCAGTCTTCAAGTCTCCTCAAGTTCCTTCCCTTTAGTGATGCCTTTTCCAATGACCCCAAGCTTCGATGGGATCTTTTTCTGGAATGATTTATTTATTCTATTCATTCAGCACTGACTTCTACCTAGAAGCAGCTGTCCTACATGGTCTGCCTCCCTAGTGAGACTAAGACTGCAATCTCTGGAAAGGCAGAGACCATACATTATGCATTTATTGTTTCCCTAGCATCTAACCCATATAGTAATCTATGCTCGAAATTGTGCCAGTGAACACAATCTAATTTGTATGATTATGTGTGTGTTTGTATGTTGTACATAGATATATGTAATGGAACAAAGATGTTCTAAAATCTCATTGCCAGGGATATTAAGGCATAAAGAGAACAAAGCAATACTCACAGCTCTTTTAAGCTAGGAAGGGCTTTAATAGCCTGAGGAAATTCTTCCAAGTTATTATAATTCAAGTCCCTAGAAAAATGGGAGAAAATATGTAAAAATATTGAACAGTGGTCACAATTCAGAAGGCATTTTGGTACAGATATATTTAAAAAAATCACATCCTCTAGATGGTAATCTTTCTTTACCAACCATATTGTCATTCAAAACTGTGCAGAAGTATAATTGAATTTATACCTTTTCTTAGAATATTAAGTAGGAAAAAAGTCATTCTTCTATGATGTTTTTAGATCAACAAATTTATGAGTACAAAAAATTCTCAGAATCACATATTACTGATGTATTAAATAAATAAATCATCTGAATGGTATTTCTCTCAGGAAGTTCACCATAAAATAGAATTTATTGAATATCCATTTGTCAGTGACATAGTGTGAAACTGAGGTTTCTATTTGGAGTTTAGAGTGGCTTCCTGAAATTCTGGTATGAGGGCAGCTAACCTCAGCTCTGCCATCAGCATGGTGACCTGAGATAAGAATAACCAGAAGGACTGGAATGGATTCATGCAGGTTGCAAATTATTAAAAATATTAATTAGGAGAGATACAAGCCATAGTAATCTGTACTAAAAAAAGTCTTAGTTCTGAGAATGTTTAAATTTTAATTTCTCTTAATATAAAGAAATGTTTTTAACATAAACGAACATGTTGGCATATGATTAGCGTGATTGATTTCAGAATGAGAGTAAACCAAAATTAAAAGCCTAGCTCCTTTGAGATCTATTTTGTTTTCCTCTTTTACATAGAAGGAAAAATGGCAAATAAAACTTTAATTGGGAAGAAGAGGCTTAATTTTAATATCACTGGAATAGTATTCATGGCCTAGGATCAGGAGATCTTTTATTTTTTTAATTTTTTATTTGTTACACCAGAAGTTACACACTTAGCAAAGGAGACCTGAGCGTGGAACTATCTTCCTCGAGATCTTCAACTTTCAAATATCCATTGATGTTTACTATCCTCTTATTGTTTAGACAGGAATGTGAATTAATGGAGTCCTAAAAGATGTTAAGTCTTCTCATTAACTGACAGTTAACCAAAAAATTCAGTTGAACAAAATACTACAAACCCTAAGCATTCCAATCAGGCTTTACTCACGACATCTAATTGGGACGTTCTCTGAATCATTTGCTACATCACAATAGCAAACATTATGCATCTTTGAATGAAGGCAACTAATGTAAACTAAAACAACAAAAATAAAGATCCTACTCTCGATAACACACAGCTGCACTATGTCTTTTACTTATATAATGGTGCAGTGTAGAGCTGAAACAGCCAGAGCTCCTGAGCACTTTAGCTAGGGGAAACAGCAAAAAAGTATCATAAGCAAAATATAAAACCTTAATTTGTTATATTTTAGCATGTGAAAGCAGACATAGTATTCAAACCCAGTGTTAACAATTAGCAAGGCAACTGAGATCATGGAAAAAACAAACTATCCAGAGTTCATCTCAGAAGTTTTCAAGTTCCAAAACTGCCGTACATTTAACACAACCAATATTTTTTAAAAGATATAAATCTTCATAGCTTGAGCCGCTTTTAACACATATTTTGGGGGGAAGAAAACCATGAAGTTTGCACTTATGTGCCATTGTTAACCATTAACTTAGATTAGTACTCATAACTGGGGTTATTTGATGGCAAGAGTTTAGTCACATATTAAAGTGAATTAACAACGAGCTAAACTCAAGATCCATATTTTTTCCTTCTGCAAAAGAGTACAAAATTGCACTATCAGTATCACAATATGATTAGCCAAAATATGAATATACTTACAAAGTCTCCAGGTTATCTAGTCCATCAAAACAGTGTTGACCCAGGCTTTTAATTTTGTTGTTATGAAGATGCCTATGAGGAAAAAAGCATCAAAATGACTTTTACATCTCCCAATAACAACTATTATAAGTGTTTTATATATCTAAATTGGTGTTTTGAAGGAATGGTGCAGCTAAACATGTCAACACTTGACTATGGATAATAAATGCATTGGGTAGTTACCTCTTGCTATACGCTGCAGACTGAACGTAGAATGCCAATAGAAAGACAAAATATCTCTAATGGAAAAATGGCACACACATTGAAGATTACTTAATATTTGCTTATATCAAAATGAAAGTTCTGATTAGCTCTTAATTATATGAAGCAAAACTCTGACGAGCTCTCTCAACGGGGAGATAGGAGTAATGGCACGGAGGAAGTGCATAGCTTATACCAGTAAGACTGGTAACAAATTTGAAAGGAAATGCCACTTCATTATATTCAAGTTTTAAAAATTTAAAAACACAAGGATCACATACTCAAAAAGTTGGAAAAACATGAAGTATCCCTGAAACTTATTTGTATGAGCATCTCAAAACGATTTCACTTCTTTTAACATTGAAAGTACCTTGCCAGAACACAAGTAAAAGCTGTTTGTTGACTGACTCAATTTCTTCTTGTAATTACAAATGGCCATTTATTTTTAGAGAGATTCAACAATTATTAGTGAATATTATTTTTTTAAAATTCTATTTTGTTGAATCTTGTACAAAGGCAGCTTCCCCAAGCCCTAACTATATAGGAGCATGATCAGTGAGGTACTTGCATAATAATTTGTCACCAGAAACCTGTTCCTGTCCTCCCCTCCCTGCCCCTGGCCACCATTGACACAAATATATGGTATCGAAAGGGGTGGATACTTACAGAACCACTAGGCTCGAAAGGTTGGTAAATGCAAAGTCAGGGATGCTTGAGATTTTGTTGAGAGCCAAGGTCAGCGCCTGCAGAGTTGGCAGATTGCTGAGGGGACGCACAGGCACCTCCGTCAGGCTGTTGTCATCCAGCCACAGATGCCGTAACTGAACAAGCCCTTCGAAACTGTCCTCTGGGACTGAAGTAATATGGTTGGCATCTAAACGCCTGACAGAAACAGAAACAACCACGACCAGTAATGAATTCTAGGGAAATGACTCAATCCGACTCACACAACTCTCAGAGGTTTCAAAACAAAAAGGACTTATAAAAATGACCAAGACCATGGCATCCCTTATTTCATTAATTTCATCAGAGGTCCTCATAAAATCAAATAACTTTTCCAAGACCAGTATGTGAAAGTCAATTCTTTCCCTTCCTTTCATAAGAAAGGGAAACATGTATCCAAATCTATAACTTTCAACTATCTTTGACTAAAAAGTAACTTTATAGTAGAAAGATATATTAAAAAAAAAAAATCTCACAAAGTTCAAGTTGGAATTTTATGTTTCAGAGTATACCTATAAAATACGGAAAAACGACAATAAGAAACTATAAGCTGACGAAATTTACTTCCAATGTTACATTGTAACTAATAATTGACATTAAATTTAGTTGCTACTATTATTTGTTACCAAAGGGAAAAATTAGAAAATGGTTACAATTTTTTTTTTATAGCAACAAACCTATTCCAATAGATTTTTAATCGCCCTTATTACCACCAGGCAAGTTAAAAATATTAACATAAGCATCGCGTACTGGCAAAGCAGCCCTCTCCTCTTCTCTTTGTGGCAATTACTTTAAAAAAATTAGTTTGCCAAAATTAACAATCATTAAGAAAAGGTCAAATTATCCACAGGAAAAATTAAGCAGCTCCTCCAATCAATTTTATTGTGGATTTAAAGCCTCTTCAATTTTTCCAAAATTTTGGAATTAAGAACACCTTACTAATAGGATTACTCATACTTAAAATTTAAGTCCCCATCTGAAAATCTGGAAACCAAGTTCTTAAGTATTATTGTTGGCACAACCGGGTGTAATTGTTGGAATAATTGCTTTTTGACACAAAGACAACCTGGTATTAATATGATGAAGGACAGCGTGTGCCAGGCAAATCACAACTTTCCTCACAAATCCCTTGTTGATATATGTTCATCATTTACATTCATGATTCACTGCCTTGGACTTTTTCGTGAAAATTAGGAAACACAAAAAACTGATAAAAATATGACGATATATTTTCTAAGAAATAGGGTTTGGCAGTTTTCACGTTCAGGAAATTCTGGGTTTTGGAGTGTTTTTTGTGTCTCCTATTTCCCTAGGCTGCTCCCAACTTCAGTTCTCCTTACATAATTGTCCCTTTTTCCTCCAGGCAAGTTCTGGGCCCAGCTCCCAATTAACTGCCCCAGGCCCCAGATGTATTCTCCTCCCCAGAGGCAGAGTAGCAGGTGTTCAAGACCATTCATGGGTCCTGGAGTATCTGACAGTGTCGAGATAACTGAAAGAACACTCAAAAAGGGACAGCTCAGGACACTGAACAGCTGCCTTAAGAATCTGCCTAGAAACACACATTTTTAAACTTGTTTATTCCTCGAGCTTTCTAGAACTTACTCTGAGAAGAGACAGGTAACCTCTATGTAACAGACTGGCAAAATACTGGCCACAGAGCTGTTCAGCAGATTTGCTTTAATGAGTAGTTAGGAATGTGTTCAAATACACACACACACACACACACACACACACAAATACAACTCACAACCTTGTGGAACATCCATTCTTAGGAAGAGAGAGACACTAAACATATAATCATACAATTAAGCATATGATGGAACTAAATAATAATGAAGCTAAATTATACTTGTAGATAATTTAATTATCTGCAATTCACTCAATGCATTTAAATTGAGCATTCTGTTAGGCACAAAGGATAAAACAGTGAACAAGACAGGCAGGAGACCCGTCCTCCAAGACTGACATTCTGGTGGGGCGGGGTGACATACAATCTAATAAACAAATTACAAAATGACTACAGAGTACTTAAAAAGGTGATCTGAACTAAATAGGGTACTGAGATAATAAGTGATGGAGTCTGAAGAGGAGTGTAGCTATTCAAAATGCACTGGTCAGGAAAAGTGTCTCGAAGAAGGTGATAATTAAACTGACACCTGAAGAATGAGGAAAAGTACCAACAGAAGCTGAGCAAGGAGTATTTTAGGCAAAGGAAAGGGCTGGGGCAGAGACCCAGCAGCAGAAACCAACTCGGTAGGATCCTGCAACTCCCAGAAGGTCGGAGTGATTAGGACACAGGAGGGGAGTGGAGGACCCAGGGAAACAGTACGGGATGAAAACAGGGTCCAGATTCTATAGGCCAGGTAGGGGGTTTGGATTGCATTTTAATTACAAATTGAAGTCCTCTCCAGTTTCTCAGTGTTATAGTAGTTGAAAAGTTTAAATTGCTTACTGCATCATAATGTGTATTCATATTCAATAAAATAATGAGTAATGTACCCCTAAACACAGCTATACTACCCTGTTAAAATTAAGTCCTCTCTGTAAAAGCATTTCCTTAAGATATGGTAAAATACTATAATAAGAAAAACTGTCTTTTTTTTTTTTTAACATAAATTCAGTTACACACTCCTTAAGCTTTTGTAAATTCTGTGCCATCTACCATCAAGGAAAAGAGATGGCCATAACTTATAGCAAGATAACCAGGTGAGTTTTAAGCTAAGACAGTAGTGAAACTATATTCTATAGCCTATACTAAAATTTCCCAAAATTATAAAGTCTCATACAAGTAAGGATTAAAAGGAAGAACTATAAAACAATGGAACCCTTAAATAAGGAATTAAATGAGAAAAAGGATTTGTGGTGACTCACATGGTTAATCCTTATCCCTGAATTCACATGCGGGTGTGGTGATACACCCATAAAGATAAAGAGTTTGCACTTAGAGTGAGATCAATGCTCCACAGAGAAACTTTCTCAGACTGTGGCTTTGTACCGATGACTTTATTAATATTTATCCTAACTAATAGAACAATACTATAACTGATTGTTTTAGCAGATGCTAAAAAGCATCAGATATTTCACAAGGTGGAAAGATTATATGGGCTTCTTCAAGTTATTCTATTTAAACTCCATATGGCAAGAGATAAACTATTACTTTATTTAAGTGCAATTTTATTATTAAAAGGTTAATGATGTATTAACTAAATTCCCTTATTTTTGTCTTGAAAATGTACTTCTAATTCTCTGTTCTCAAAAGCCTATTTTATATCTGAGACTTGCATATTTTTAAATTTCTTGTCTAAAATGAAATTACAGTAACAATTAGTACCAAATGCAGATATTTACTATTGAAAAAGTCTTTGTTATCAATAAACACCTATTCTGTGTAATCAAAAGTTTCCTTTTGCTGTTTCTAACTTATCAATAATGTAAATATAATAGTTATAAATATATTTTAAAGTTATAGAGGGAAACTTAGGAAATTTAATATTTGAGATCCTTCAATATTCAATAAAAATGTGATCTGAAGTAAAGAAAAATTCTAGTGGAGCTGATTCTGACATGTCATTTTAACATCCTGCTCAAGTAATGCTTTAGCCATTCTCGGGGCTTTGCGGAGGCTGTCACATACTACCTTTTTACCAGCACCAACAAGTCACTTTCAGATTTTACAGTTATCATCAAGCACATACTTGCATCAAACCACTTCTGGTCAATTTCAATCCCTAATGAACTTTGCTCCTTTTAAGCACTATTCAAAACCACAAGGAAATCTTTCGTGTAACTCAGGTCTGAAGATCAGATTTTCAAACTGACTCAAGTGCTGATAAGACTGTTTTACACCATGACAGAATTTCAATTGTATCTAAACTGCACCACTGCACCCACTATGCTAACAAACCCATGAACATTTCCTTCTTAAATAAAACAGGCCTGACACAGAGCAGTTCCTTGTGTTTCTGATACATATGAAAACATCCTAATGCCTCTTCAGAGTTTGTTTTAACTCCACTCCCTAGCTCCATCCCAATTTGGGAGATAATTTTAACTAAGCAATTCACAACATGTGAATGATGAACACAGTATGCTTTTTAAAAACATTGTTTTAGAGAGGGAAACCTATGGTTTCTGTGAAAAACACCACTTCAAATCATCTACATAACCAATGAATGTGTCATGCACTTTAATGTACTTATTGACCACAAATTAGACAGAATCTACTTGGATGTTTTCTTGGTAGTTTTTCTGTTCTAAAGTTGAATATGAGATTTTAGTCCTCTCTTTTTTAGCCTTTAAACTAGACAAAATGGTCAAGTATTTTGACTATTAAGTCTTAGGAAATAATGATTCAGTTTGAAGGTGTTGAAGTAAAATGAAATTCTGAAGCAGCAAAAGAAAACAAGAACTATTTAAAATGCCTAATGAATTCAGGTCCAAGAGAGGTCAGATGGTTCCCTCTGTGTACATCCTTCAGAGGTGAGAGAGGGCGCAGCAAAATAACATTTTTGTAAAGGAATTTATTCCAATAGATTCATTCTGACAGTCTATTAGGAACCTACCTAATTAGCTGCAGTGAAAAACAAATCCTTATGTTCCATAGCTTACCATTTTAGTGAAGTGAGCTACTTAATATGAACCACCTTAAATTAAACTTCTATTTAAACTAGAAATTAAATGGCCAATACCCTGGATACTCCTTGTTTATGACACTAGACATACTTTAAAGTTTAACTTTTACAGCATATATTTTATTAATACATATTTTTATTTTCACATTCGTTTCCCATTAACTACTAGAATATCTAACCTAAAATCAAATGGCAATTCTATCATTTACAATTTCCAGTGATGTCTTTTTGGTGCAGTTAAAAATGGCTTTACGATGGCAAACTGATGAGACAAGCAGCTCAATCATTGTCACCCTAAGTTTTCTAACTCGCATGCATTTCCTGCAAAAGCTTGTATTTACAGTTATTTCAAAGTCCAATAAAAAAACCCAAGTAACAGATTAGTATACAAATATATGATGGGGTTAAAATGAAATTTTATAATCCAGCACACATAAGTGTGATAACTATTACAATTTTTAACACTTAAGAGTGGTTCTAGGGATATTTTTTAAAATATAGCTTTCTGGACCCTACTTTTAAACAGAAAATAACATTACTTCTAGGATATGGCCTAGGAATCTCCATTTTAGCAATCTCCTACTAGCAATCCTGTTGCGAAGTGTGGTCAAAGTGCCACACTTTGAGAATTATGCCCCAGTCCCACTGTATTTAGTATTTAGGAAGCAATGCAAATGTGTATTCATCATTCTAGTGGAAGCTAACAAAGTTCTTTATTTTGAAAAATACGTTTTACTTTTTTTTTTTTTTTTTTTTTTTGAGAAGTTCCCTTCACCAATTGAGGAACTATAATCAATTTGTCCTGATTATCATTATCACCAGAAACAAATTTCTCTGTGGCTGTTTCTTGACAGGGCACAAGGCACCAGAACTTCTGCACACATGTAACTCTGGTTCCAAAGAGGTGCTGATCACCAGCCATGTACACATTCATGGCAGCCGTGAATGCTCAGTAGCTTTCTTTTAGCCTCTAAGACCAGTGAGGAGGTAACAACCACCTCCTTGTCCCTCGCCAAAGGACGTGTTGATAACTGCACTGGTCATCCCATTTTTATTTCAGATGAAGGATAAACCTCCCCTTTCCGTAGGATTCCAGTTCTTCATATACTTTAACAGCCAGAGGGGTCCCCTAATGATTCAAGAATACAGAAAACCAAAAAATTACTTACAAAGACTGCAAAGCACTAAGTCCTCGAATGGCTTCACTGGGTACTGTTTTCAACTGATTGTTCTGGAGGGTTCTGGAAGGAAATTTTGGGTTAGTGAGTAACAAAGCAATTGTTACCATTTTTTCTTAGAAGAATTCAGAGCCATTTATTTACAAAAGTATTTCCAATAGCAAAAAAAAAGGAGGGGGGAGGTGGAGGTAGAAAGCATCAAGACAAGAGAACTGCAAAAAAATCAAGAAGCATTTGTTCTAAAACCAGAAGTGAAAACTATGCTGCTATACTAAGCCATCTCCCAACAAAGACCTGATGGGCAATCCACATTTCCAGGAGCTGTTTCATTCCCAGGAATCAAGGCACCCTAGTTAATGTTCATCACCCTAGGTACTGTTAATGTTAATTGAGAGGTATAACAAGTTAACTGAGAGGTGTAATAAGCAAACCCATTGGAATCCCTAATGCCTTTTCAAATTCAAATAAAGCAGATCCCAAAAACACAGACATTAGGTAAAGCCAATTTTACCAAGAGGATAGCAGACCCTGAGTTCTTAGGCAACAGCAGCAATGTCCTCAGTGCATGAATCTACTTGGATGTTTTCTTGGTAATTTTTCTGTTCTAAAGTTGAAAATGAGATTTTAGTCCTCTCTTTTTTAGCCTTTAAACTAGACAAAATGGTCAAGTATTTTGACTATTAAGTCTTAGGAAATAACGATTCAGTTTGAAGGTGCTGAAGTAAAATGAAATTCTGAAGCAGCAAAAGAAAACAAGAACCATTTAAAATGCCTAATGAATTCAGGTCCAAGAGAGGTCAGATGGTTCCCTCTGTGTACATCAGAAGTGAGAGAAATAGAGCTTTAATCATCAGGTAGTAGCTGGGTGTAGGCATGGTGGCATGTGCCTGAAGTCCCAGCTACTTGGGAGTCAGAGGCAGGAGGATCACTTGAGCCCAGGAGTCCAGCCTGGGCAACACAGCAAGACTCTGACTTCATAAAAAATAAACAAAAATAGGCCAGGTGTGGCGGCTCACGCCTGTAATTCTAGCACTCTGGGAGGCCGAGGTGGGAGGATTGCTTGAGCTTAGGAGTTCAAGCAAGACCTGAGCAAGAGCAAGACCCCGTCTCTACTATAAATAGAAAGAAATTAGCCAAGCAACTAAAACTAGAAAAAAATTAGCTGGGCAAGGTGG